TGAAAAAAATTAGAGGGTTAATTAACTTACTGTTAATGCAATTGATCTTTTCAAAAACTACGGAAGAGAAATTTTTCATCCTACTTCCTTTTTATCTTTTTTCTTTTCCTTTTTATTATTTGTTTATTTATTTATTTATTTCTTTGTTTGCTTATTTATTTATTTAACCAATTGTTTATTTCTTCTTATTAGTCAAACAAGCGGCAACAATTTTATAATAAAAGCTTTTTTCATCAGTAATGATTTCTTCAAATATTCTTCCTTTTTCAAATTCTTTTTTTTTTGATCTTAGTAATATTTTAGGTCAAATTAGATATATAATGATAGAAAATATTGATAATTATCCAAAGCAACATCAAAACACGCATAATTTCATACACTAATAGGAATCGATAATGAATATAGCTATGAAATCAATATGTAATTAACCTGAAATCGACATATCAGTTATTCTGTTTTCTTTCTCATTTCAGTTCATTAAATAATAAATTCTCCGTGAAATATTAATTATTTCGTTTTTCTCTTCGTAGTTCACTTTAATTCGTATTTTATCCAATTTATCTATAATTTATGAATAATTTACGCACATTAATTTATTTGTAACAATAGTTTATGCAAATGAGTGAGAATGGAAAAAATAGACGAAGAAAGGAACTGTTTAAAACTTTTTAATTATTTCAAATAATCTATCGAATTAATTGTTTCTCAACTTTTTGCTAGAAGTAGGTTTAGCGTGATTCAACTGATTTGAATCTTAGTGTAATGAATTTGTCACAATTTAAAAGACCAAAGATTGTAAAGGTTGTAAAATTTGAAATTTGTTCTATCTTAAAGTTTCAACATCAAATGATTTGATCAGTTTTCTCACATCATATCCTAACTAATTCATACTAATTTATAAAAAAAAAAAAAACTGATAATTGTCTAACAATTTTAGTAACAATTTTGGCTTGAAACGACGATCAGTACTGGATGAATAATTTGAAAACTTAAAATTTTTTGATAAATTTAAAAATTTTTTAAAAAATTCAAAAAATTTTGAATTAAATTTTTAAAAAAAAAACTAAAAAATTTCGGTTAAGGAAATTGTTTCATTTTAAAATTGTATAAATATATATAATATATATATATTTCTATACTGTTAAATGAATCTTTTTTAAAAAAATGATTATGAAAATAAAACAATATTTTATTAAAACATGAAAATATTGATTAATTTGTGAAGGTTAATTTTAATTTATTTTAATCTTAAAAGGAATAAATCTTAGAATATTTAAAATCAGAACAATTTCAACAAATTATAAAAAGGAAACAATCACAGCATTTGTAAACCGGAACATTCCTAATATGCCTGCCATAAACCGGAAACAAACTATACAATCCTCTATGATCATCCATATTTATTCACTTTTGTTATGAACAGGAAATGAACAATTGTTGTTCAATTGCGCTCAATGACTTATTATTGGAACAGTGTACAAATTCGTACACAATTTGTTCTATTTATTAAATTATTTAATTTGGAAGAATGAAATTGTCTTTAACGAATTACTTAAATAATAATTATTATATATAAATTATATGATAAAATTAAATGGAAGTGAATAAATTATTGTAAAAATTGTGCAGAAATGATGAAAAAAATTATTTCTTATACATTCATTTTAACATAGTTTGAAGATATTTTAAAGATTATTTTATAATCATAATTTAGCTTTCAATATAAAAATTAATAATTCGAAAACAAAAGAGAGGGAGAGAGAAGCAGAGAAAGGGACTGCAAGGAAATTTGTTTTCATAAGATTTGATTTAAAAATAACTACAGATTGATTTTTTTATGATAAACTAAAATGATATATTTCAAATTCATTAATTTCTTTTTTTTTCAAACATCATGACACAAAAGTTTAGTATTTTCAAACTAAACTTTCACAATTTTTTAATTTTACACTTAATTAGACTATCGCTAATTAGCTTTTAGGTAATTGAATTATTTTAGAAGAAAAATAAAATAATTATAAGATTTTTCTTTTAAAAAAATAATAAATATTAAATTATTTTGGTAAATTTTTTTTTTAAATAAAAAAATAGTCATTAAACTACTTTTTTAGAAAAAATTTTTGAAATGAATAATGAATATTAAATTATTTTATCAAATTTTTTTTAAAAATTATTTTAGCACATGACTGCAAGTTTGTCATGAACAATTAATTTTATCGCTTAATGTTAAGCTTTTATTTAATAATGTGTTATAAATTATAATAGAAGAAATTGAATCTAAATAATATTTCAAAAAAAAAGAAAAAGAAAGAAAGAAAACGATAGAAAAAGACGAAATTTACAGTTAATTACCAAAAAACAGTTATAAAATGATATCAAAAAGAAAATTTAGCACGAAAATTAATTATATTAGGAACTTAAAAACAAAATAAATGATAAAGTGAATGAGAAGGCATATAAAATAAATTAATAATAAAAATTAAATAATTAATATTTGCGCAAATGTGATAATTTTATATGTGACTTATATGTGATAATTTAATTTCTTAATATTAAGATTTATATTTAATATATTAATTAACATCCTAATATTTTTATCTGCTAATTACTTACGCCTGAATAGCTGTTAGCAATTAAAATAATGTTAGATGTAATTAATTACACAGAATAAGTTCTACTTAACAAACATTGCTATTCATTCTATCACTTATATATATATATAGTTACTTAAATACTTATACTTAATAAGTTTATGCATCTAATAATTAAACGTAAGTAATAATTAGTATGCATCGTTGACAATTAATTATACCTAATGAATGTATTTAATTATTTCTATACTTTATATTCATTTCTTGTCTAATATATGTGCGAAGTAATTATGTATGCTTGATATGTTATACTTAATATATCTTAATGTCGATTTAATAACTTAATTTAATTCATTAATATTAAGATTTATACTTAATGTGTTAATTAACATCTTAATATATGCAGGTGTTCATTATTTACATCTAGTATGTATATTTGCTAATCGCTTATATTTTTATATTTTAAACCAAAACGAACTTCTAAATGCAACAATTCTTACGTTCACTTTTTCCATGCCATTTTTAATTTTTGACCAAACTATTTATCTGATTCCGATTCCGGTTTTCATTCCATAATAATAATAATAATAATAATAAACCTTTCTTTAGTATTTAAATCTTCACTTTCTCTAAATAATAAAATTTTCAGTATACAGAAAGCATCTTTTTTTAAACAAATATTTTTCTCTTGTTTCAAAATTTGTTTTTCTTCGTTTTTCAAATTTTATAAAAATTTAAAAAATAATAAAATTTCCATCCACTCTTTTCTTAGCTATTCTAATGATGCATATACGTTTATCAATTTAGTAAGAAATTTTAGATTATCAATGATGACACACTTCACTATTTTGAAATATAAATGTATTGGTCAAAAGAACGAACAAAGTGAATTAAATTAATTGACCTAATCTTCAAATCATTAAATTTATTACTTGAACTGACAGCAAAATTTGCATTTAACTGATATTTTATGAAGAAATAAAATCCTTTGATGTTCAAATAAATTTACGTTAAGAATATTTTTTGATATTAGTATGGAAATTATTGAATCAGTCGATCTGAAAATCTCATATGAGAATTATAGAATCGAGCCAAATACTTGGATTAATTCCTGAAGCAGTCGATAATTATATAAGAATTATAAAATCAAATTCTTGAATCAATTCCTTATCTGCGGCTGTCATATAAGAATTATTCTTCGAATCAACCGATCTCACATGGGAATTGTATTTTTGGATCAATCGATCTCATATGAGAATTATGTCCTCAGATCAATCGATCTATATGTTATTGATTTTTTAAGAAATAAATCTCAAAACTACACCAAACAATCATTTATCACACTCTTATCATATGGCCTTATCAAATATATTAATTACATTATCACATTAAACGGCAGATTATCATTCTTTCGTTCTTTTTCCTTTGCTTCATTCTAAAATGAGCAAAAAAAGAATGCGTTAACACGCGGAAAGATAAGTGAGTGAGTGGAAGGAAGGAGCGAAAGTAAAAAGAAACTGTAAAACAAATTAAAAGAAAATCAATCAAATAATCAATAAATCAATCAGCCAATCAATCAATTAATCAATCAATCAATCAACCAATCATACAATACGAATCGCATTAACATTGCATCTTTTGAATAATAATAAGATAAAAGAGAAAGACTGAAAAAGAAAGATAAAGTGATAATATATACACAATAAATGCACATTAAACAAAGTTGAGCAGAATTAAGCAATTTTCATTTCTGTTTCGCTTTTCTCTTGCTCAATTACCTTTTCTGAGGTAAAAATACGTTTACGTCTGCGCAAGTTACGTCTAATCACGTAACTAATATATGAATGATTGAAAGAATGAATGAATGAATATGATAAAAGTGATAAGATAATTCTGAGACATTAAATAGCTTTTAATAATGATTAAATAAGGCTAGGAAATATTCATTTAATATTCAAAAATGCAAGAGGCACTAAAATTAAAATCAAAATCAGAATCAAATATTAATTTTCTTTTACTTTTATAAATTTTAAGTAAAATTCGCATATTGAATAAATACAAATTTTAATTATGAATTTCAAAAATGATAGAAATTGAAGAATTTATAGAAAAGAAAAATAACCCGCAAAAATCTTATAAAATTTGGTTCCTTAATAATAAGGAAAAAAGATAAAAAATGGAGTGCGAATAATTATGAATTTTAATAAAGTGAAATTTACTTATTTCTATTCTATCCTTTTTCCGTTCACATATGCTTTTCTTCCTGTTTTTTCCTATTTCCGTTTTTTCTTTTCTCTTTTTTTTTTTTTTTTTGCATTTCTTATTAACATACAAAAATGCATAACATAATTACAAAATTATCACCAAATTCACACATCCGTAATTATTTCTGATACTTTAAAATATGTGTCATTTCGCATCAAGCAATTTGACCGATTCATTCAACCAATTCATAATTGCATTAATTGCAGCTAATATAGCAGGTGAACCGAATCCATGGGTAACCTGAAAATGATTTAAATTCTGATTTACATGTAATTAATATTACAAAAGAGAAAAATTTTTCATCATAAGAATGATACCATAATGTGATCTGCACAATATCATAAGATAATTTTATTAAATACGATCATTACTATCATTATTACTATTATTATTGTTATTATTATTATAACTATCATTATTATTATTGTTATTATTATTATTATTATTATTATTATTATTATTATTATTATTATTATTATTATTATTATTATTATTATTATTATTATTATTATTATTATTATTATTACCATTATTATTATTATCGTTATTATTATTATTACTATTATTATTATTATTACTATTATTATTATTATTATTATTATTATCGTTATTATTATTATTACTATTATTATTATTATTGCTATTATTAACAATATAAATTATTGTTATGTTGTTAATGTAGCAACAATTGTTATTATTATATTATTGCATTTGATAATAATGCAATAGTAATAATAATTATTATTACTACTGCTATTTATTATCATCCATTAATATTAAATCATAAAAATACATAATGCTTCAATAAATTTTATTTTTCCCAAGGAAAAGAAAATAAAAGAGAACGAAACATATGATAGCAATATTAAGTTATTTGTAATTAGTAATATATAGCTGAAGCAAATATAAAATAACTAGATTCCAATAAGCATTACAATTTCCAGTGAATTCAATTCAAATTTCTTAAATCACTTTTAAATAAATGAAATGAATTACTTGAATAATAGAATGTTAAGTGAATTCTCATTCGAATAAAATAAGTGAGTGAAATTAATTGAGATGCCAACAAAGAAAACAATAATTAAGACAATTTCTTTTTCTTTCAAATGTAATGAATTTGGGATTTAAACTTTGGATCAAAAGTAAGTTCAAATAATTTTCTGTCTTTATCAAATTAATAATATAAATTTAACGCTAAGTCATTTGCTATATTAAATTATAGCAATTATTAATTAAACAAGTGAAATTAATTATTGCAATTGTGAAATTCAAAGATAAAACATAATTTTTCTTCTTTTCCCTCTCCCTTTTCCTCTTCCTCTTCCTTCTCCTCCTCTTCATCCTCTTTAACTACTCACATTATAACTTAATTATATGCAACTTTCAACAAATGATTAAATGATAACATTATCACAAATGATAGAGTAATAGAAGAAGAAGGAAACCACTAACATATTAATTAATTGGAAAAAGAAAAAAGAAACCATTGAGAAATGTGTTAGTCGACTTTGCACAATTGGTTCTAAAATTGGTTGTGGCCTTGAGGAACATATTGGACTTCGATCATTGCTTAATAATTCTTTCAATTCGGCTAATGTTGCTTTTGTTGCTAATAGCATATTCTTCCGTCGTTGCATATCTAATGATTCCATTGAACAATTTGCGCGTGTCAAATGTTCAGCAATCGTACGGGCGGGGAATTCATTCTCACAAACAGCGTTGAAATCTTTTGCCAAATGCATCGCTTCAACTGTCAATGAACAAATATTCATTTATTTGTTAACATTTCTTTTTTCACTTTATATATATATATATAAGCTAGTAATCATTTGGAAATAAAATTTACATTAAAAAAAAGTGATTAAAAATAATTATTTGTTATTCTTAAATATATTTAAAAAATATTTATTATTCTTAGACATATATTTATTAATCTTGGATATACTTAAATATATAAATACATCTTATCGTTTATGATATTATTACAATAGTTGCAAATATAAAATATTTATACAAAAAAAAGTACTAATTGCTTAAAAGTAAAATTTACGTAATAGTAACTGTTGTAGCATTTATGGTTATAAAATTAAACTGTAAAATAAGTACTTTTAATAATAAACAGTAACATTAATTATTTTGAAACGTAAAGATGACAGTAGTTACAATAAAATCTCTAATTTGATTAGATATGATATGATAAATGAAAGTGATAATTGTTGATAAAATAATATTGTATTTTTTATTCTTTTTTTTTGTACTTAAAACATATAGTCATATTTATGCAGAGTTACGTTTAGATAAATCAACAAAAAAAAATTTTTTTTTTTTTAAATTTATAAAAAAAAACAACTAACATTCAACAAGCGCTGTAAGTGAATTAACATTTGTTGCTTTCCGTCTTCCGGCTGGTAACTGTAAGCCGACACGTTTCAATTGATCACGTAAAGATTTACCACCATCTTTAGATTTGGCTCTGGAAAAAATGACATAGCCTAATTTTTCCCAATTATTTCAATTTTCAAATAAATTTTTTTTTTCAAATACAAATAGATTTTCAAAACTAGCATTACTAGAAGAAATATTTGGGAATTAAACTGATTGTTAAACGTAAATTAAATTAAAATTCAAATTAGAATTGGAATTTAGAGAAAGAGCAGAATATTATTGGTTTATTAAGCAATAATTATTAAAATATCATTGAATTCCATTCTAACAATTACTAATTTTAATTTCATATATTTAAAATTTGTAAAACTTTTAAAAAATGTTTAAAGTAACATGAAAAAAGGAAGGAGAGAGAGAGAGAGAGAGAAATGGAAAATGATGAGAGAGAAAAAGAGGGAAAGACAAAAAGACCAAATGAAAGAATAAAAAATGAATTTTAAAAGAATATTAATAATTCATGGTGAAAATATTAAATCCAAATCATTGTCAGTTCTTTCGATTTTTTTTTTTGACTACCTGCGAAGAATTCCACCCAAAACTGATGCATTAAGACATTCCGGCGGTGAAAGTCGTCGATGAATTTCACCTACTGTCACTTTGTACTTCGCCGCACTGCTGAGCAAACTTAGCCGACCTTCAACATAATTAATTAATTTACTTATTTACTCATTTATCGTTCATACATTTCTTTTAATGATCATTAGCTGCAGATATTATTTGATTGAATTTTAGCAAAAAAAGAAAAATATGAATAATTAATATTATATTTCATATAAATAAATATTGCCTAATTAAGTGTTAATAGAAGTGATTAATTAATTTCCATCTTGGCTCTAATTGCTAAAAGAATGAATTTTTAAAATTATAAAAAATTACTTGATAATTTTTTACGTTTTTGTTTATCAAAAAGTTGAACAAACATTATTTTTATATTTACAAATTATGTATATGAAAAAAAAAAGAAAAAATTGTTAATGTGAAAGGTTTTAGCTTTATGATAAATTTTTTTTTGTCAATAGATTCTATCACTGAAAGGATATACACGGGATATTTATCAGAAATATTTATCATTTAGCTAACTTATTCTCATTTTTGAAATCTACTGTTTCATTTTTATCATTTTCTATTTAATTATCAACATTAAAGATTATATTATAATATTTTAAAGAGGTTTATTAAGTATTTTAGTGCTATTATTAGATTAAATAATGAATGATATATTAAATCAAAAATTTGTTATCATTTAATCATATATCATCAATTATACTTAGTTTTGCTGATATTTTCATATCTAATCACTGCTACTATTTTCACTTTTAATTATTGCTAGTATACGTTAATCATTGTTACTAGCTTTGAAATTTCTTGAAATATTTGAAAAAAAAAAGAAAATTCCTCAAATTTTACAAAATCTAAACAATTTACCGTTTAGTCAATAAGTTTGGATGAAATTAAAGTTGTCATTAAAAGAAATAAATTTGCAAATAAAAATAAACCTGGCACAGAACAGAAGACATCAAGATAATTAACAGTATGAGAAGTTTGATTACTACTATGGACCAATTGTCCATTCATTGGACATGTCGTTACCATTGGTTTAGGTCTTGAACATGCTGCTTAAAAGTAGAAAAAGTAATAAATTAAAGTAACAATAGAAGAAAGAGAAAGAAATTTGTAAATAATAAGAATGTATGTTATCATTTTTTTTTTTTTCTAAAGTAGAAATCAACAAATATTTGATTATTTTTCATTCGTTCATTTTTTTTTCATCGCCAAAAATAATTAGAACAAGTGATTTTAGATAATGATTAAAAGGATGTATATTAATTAAAATTAAGTAAATATTGTATTACATTTACCTTTACGAATAACACCACGTTGCTCAGTTATATTTGCTGATGCTCTTGGTGGTGATGTACCCATTTCCTGGAAATAAAAAAAAAAAAAGGAAAAAAGTTGGTAAATGGAAATAAATAATTTTAGCACCTTTTGAAGCATAATATTGCATTTTTTTGAGCTGAATTTCTTTCTTTTCAGTCAAAATTTGTGTTAAAAATTAATAGCAAAAGGTGAAAAATTTTAACATGCTATTTTTTTTTATATATTTAAAATTTTAATATCAGAGATAATTTGTTTTATCGCATATTTAAAAAAAAATCAAAGATTTACGGTATCAACATTTCCAGTATCTGTAATCATGTTATGATGTTGTTGTTGCTGCTGTTGTTGTTGTTGTCGCTGTTGTTGCTGTTGTTGTTGTTGTTGTTGTTGTTGTCGTTGTTGTTGCTGTTGTTGTTGTTGTTGTTGTTGTTGTTGTTGTTGTGTTGTTGATGTTGCAAGGAAGCAGTAGAAGGAATATGCTGTTGAGATAGATGTTGCATAAAAACCGGTTGTGGTCGACCGGTAACCATCAGGTATTCTCGTCCATTTGGTACGTGAACCTAAAAATTAAAAACATTTACTGCTTATTTCTACAATATCAAAAATATAATTTACTGAAAAATATTTATTCCTATTTTTCACACAAAATTTTCTAACGAATAAAGTTATTTTTTTTTATGATTGCTAATTACACTTATATATGCTAAAATATTATAAATATCAATTATAAATACCAATTATATACTTCATTTTTTTAATATCAAAAAAATTGTTAAATTTTCTAAATTACTTCCTAAATCTAAATTCAAAACTAAATTACTCAAAAAGAATGAGAAAAAAAATGACGCTGTAATGGACATTAGCTTGCTGTTGATAACAGGTAACACGCGTAAGTTCATTAGTTTGTTCACGGAATTGTTCCGATGTAGCACTCGCAATACTATACGGTTGTAACTGAAAACAAAAATATTTAAAAAAATTTTTCGCAAGAAATTAACAATTTTTTTCTTTACACTTAGAAAATAAAAGTAAAACAAAAGACATCATTAAAATAAATTTACAGAAGTTTTATTTAGAAAATATAAAAGTTTAATTAATTCAATTACAGGTGATAAATAATTCCGAAACACCATTACTGAAATGTTATTGATATTTTAACAGGAATATTTTCAAATTTTCATATGTTTTATTTTAATAAATCTGAAAAAATTTAACAAAGTGTAATGTTTGTAAGATTAATTAAATTACTTGATTAAATTACCTGTTCAGCTTGTGCATAAGGACCTGGATTATATGCAAAAGCATAAGCTGGAGATGGAAATCCGATATGTTGTTGCTCTAATAATGATTGTTGTTGTTCGTTGGAGATAGGTTGGGCTCCGATACCTTCAAGTTGAAGGCTCTAAAAAAAGACAGAGAGAGAGAGAGAGAAAGAAAGAGAGAAGGAGATAGTGGAAAAAAGTAATTCGTTGTTTTTTTTTAACAATTTTAATTTGTTCAAATATTATTTAAAAAATAGCATTTATTAGCATAGCAATATTTCAAATTGCTATATTTTTTGTTGCAATTATATTTAACAATTCTTTTTAACACTATTACTTATTTTAATTGTATAAAAATAATAGTCGATAATATATTCAAAATTATAAATTCTAAAACTTAATTCACAATTTCGTTTCTTCTTTAAAATAAAAATTTTGTTTTAAATGAATAAAATTTTTTTTAAAAAAATTTTCGTTATCTTTAAATAAAAGATAACAAAAAACAAATGAAAATTTTGTAAAATTTTACTGAATCATTTTTTTCGGCAAAATGAAAGAAAAAAAATTGATCAATAAATTTAAATGAATTCAATGCTGATATGATTAGAATGAAAAAAAGAAACTATGATAACAGTGATAATTAATGATAAGGACTTTGTCTATTCTTTCTCTTTATTTATTTATTCTTTTTTCTTCTTTTCTCTTCCTCTTTCTCTCTCTTTTTCCCTTTCATTTATTTCATTATTCACTTCTCTATTCCTGTCTCATATTTTTATCTCATTTTCTTTTTTTCTCTTTTTAAAAAGCTAAGCAAAGTTAAAAATTTTTTCATTTTCATAAAATTGATAACTGATTATTGCTAACTGATCGCTATAATACTTTTACATAAGAAAAGATTTCCGTTCGTCGTTCCTTTCAATAAATTGGATTAGACAAGAAAGAAAATAATAGTTGAAAAGAATGAAAAATGGAGAAGAGGTCAAGAAAAAAAAAGGTCATCTTCAATAACTATTTAAATATCAATTGTTATTATCCAATTTTCTTCTATTTTCTCTCTTTCTTTCTCTCTCTCTCTCTCACACTCACACTTTCTTTCTCCTTTCCTCCATTTTTTCTTTTTCTCCTTCCTTTTATGATTTATTTTCATTTTTTTTTTATTTTTTTTCTTTCTTTCCTACTTTTCAATCAAAAGGATTTAATTTACTATCAAATTAACTGAATAAAAAAGAAAAAAATTTGAAAAAATCGTTAAAAAGTTGTAAAATTTGATGACAGTAAAAGGAATTCATCTTCTCATACATTTTTATTGCGAGAGGTGATGAAAAATCCTTTTAAGGATTACTTTGCCAGTTGAATTTTCAGAGAAAACAGGAATTTTGATCAACAAATTAAATAGGGGCAAATTTTCAAGCTTCCATGAAAACAATTATCGTAGAAGTCTTCTATCTTCGTTCACAAATTAATTAATTAATCATTTTATAAGATTGAATTTATGCCATTAACAATTATTGTGAATACAGTGAAGAATTCCTTTTAGTTTACCTAAAATGAAAACATATTGAAATTATGAAATTCAATAAAAGAACTGCTTATAACTTTAATTAATTGCTTCATATTATCTAATTATTTTACTCTGAAAGCAACCATTTCAATACCCTTTCTTTTTTTTTTCAAGTTGACTTTTTTATTTGTAATTTGAATTTAAATTACATTTCTTCTCTAACCAATAAAAATGTATTTAACAGATTGAAGTTAGTAAATATTCAAAATTAATATTTTATCATTTGCTATTTCTATCATTTTTCATTTGGTTCAATAGTACTAACATAAATTTCGATTTTGATTTTAATTATGCTTTCAGCTTATTATTTCAATTCATAGTTTAATAGAGATATTTCATGCAAAAATATCATCTAAAATGTATTATAATAATTATTTTGAATATTTACTTCCATTATCACAAACATTTATATATTGCAATTAAAAAAAGAAAAATCAATGAGTTAAGAGGAATAAAATATAGCATAAACTTCTATTCAATTAAATCTTAAATAACGATGCATTAGCACTGCTTGTTATCACTATTTACCATTTTGTTATTATTTATTATTTACATACTCACTTATTTATCATTATTGCTTAATATTTGTTTACTTATTGTTATTTATTATTATTATTATCGTTTAATATATGTTATCTATTATTGTTATTATTATTATTGTCACTATTATTAATAAGTAACAACTATTATTATTCTATAATATATTCTATATATCTTTAATTGATTTGAGATATATGGTACATTTTTCTCATCGAAGGCTGCAGATTCTTTAATTAGCGTTGGTTAATACAAGAAATGAAAATTTAAATCAAATTTTAACAAAATTTGGAAAATTTCAATTAAAACATTTCGATTAAAAAGAAAGGTACTTATTAGTACATATATTTAAAACATCAGAATTTTATATTTTAAATTATCGAAATCATAACTCATTTATTAAACAAAATTTTTTTCCCATAAAAGCTTATTGAAAACCCTAAAAAAAAAAAAATAAAAGTAACGATTAGTAAATTCCAGTCAATTTTTGATATCTAAAATGCTACAGAATGCTACAATTTATAATTGGTATAATTGTTTTTTAATTAATTTAATAATAGCTAAAATCTAAACCGATACTATTGATCTTGAAATTCTTCCACACAAATATGATTTATGCAATAGCTAATTATAATATTATTTCATAGTAAGTGCAAAAAGCTAAAAAGGAGAGAGAGAGAGAGAGAGAGAGAGGGAGGTGAACAAGAGAGAGATTGAAACTGCATTAGTTTTAATATGACTCACTTGCATTACGTTTCTTCGACGTTCACAGCTAATACCAGTAATTTGTTGCCTCAGGCCACAATCGTCCAAATACTCTCAGATAACTTGCTTTCCCTTAGGTATAACTTTCGGTGATAAAAACGAGCACAAATTGCAACAGTGATAACCTTTAGGGTGACCGGTATATTCCTTGGAAAAATTGTTGATAAGGTTTGTAGCATCGGTTGATTAGTAATAGTGATAGTAACACTGGGTTATGGAGCAAAAAAAAAAAAAAAAAGAAACAAGAAAAAGAGATGAAATGATAAATTATAAAAATGAAGAAAAATAAATTGAAGAGAAAATTAAAAAAGTGAAAGAAAAAGAGAAAAAGATGACTATAAATAAGATCAAAAAAGTATCTTATTACTTTTGAATTAATGCAATACGAAAATGCAAGAAAGAAAAAAAGGAAAAAATTCAATTCTTTTTTTTGTTGAAAAAAAAGTTTTCGTTTCCTTTTTTTTTGGTGTCGAAAAATAATTGCAAATTAATTACAAAATTTATATTCTTTTACTTAAATGAGAAAAAAGAGATAATTTTGACCTTTTCAACTCGTTGCCTTTTTTTTCTTTTCCTTTTCGCTTTTTTTTTTCTTTTTCTTAAGGATTAATATTCAAATTGTTTTCGTTTTATTTTCGAAGTTATGTCAATTTTGTCTCATCTTTTCTCTTCATTTCACCTCTTTCACTCTTTTATTCATCTTTAGACTCTTATAAGTTTTACCTCATAATTATGCCTTAAAGATTTCTGTCATATTTCCAATGCTGTTGCTATATCATTTAAAAGAAAAAAAAATATATCAAAAATTATTTGTCACGACCAAATGTCGCATTTTTCCTTGTTCCCACTGACGCCTTCGTTAACTTATGACCCGGGGCAAACTAGCCTGAGGATATATATAAATGTGTGTGTGTGTGTGTGTGTGTGTTCTGTACCAAACGAGGTACACCACCTACTAGATCTATTATATTTCCTAAAGAAAAATGATTCTGTTAACCTTTATTCCCAATTCTAAGAAAAAGAAGAAAAATATGCCGTTGGCGCTTTCACGACAAAATATCCCGAAAGCGTTTCGCTTCATCCACATACCTACCCGTCGGTCACATCCATAAATCGGAAAATGATGTAAATAAAGGAACCCCCGGGGAATGGGTGGGACAATAGTGATACCGGTCAAACATTAAATTTTTACATTTCAGATATACTAAACCCAAATACAACCCATATTTACTAACTACTACAAAACCACTCATTTGGTATATTATTATCAATTGAATTCATTGAACCATCTTCATATGAAAGAGGGTTACAAAAGTGATTGAAAAAGGAAGAAGGGTTATGGTAGGGTGGAGAGGAAAGGTGGATAAAAATGGGTAAAGGTGAAAGGGTAAAGGGAAAAATGAAGGAATAGGAAGAGAGGTAGAAAAGGGAGTATATAGGAAGAGGAATAGCGGGATAGAACTGGGGATAAAAACGGAAAATATGAACAAGGAAGAAGAAGAAGGAAAGATAAGAGGGAAGTTGAAATTTGAAAGAATTTCAAACTAGTAGTAGGACTGCAAAATTGACGATCAAAAAAGGAGTCCACCTCCACTCATTCTTTTCCCCTATCTGTGCCTTTTTGTGAAAATTTAAAACCGTTTACCTAATATCACCATCATTCTAGTTTCTGCCATTTGTTGAGTTTTATGAAATGAATGCAAGGAGAGGTGGAATTCAAAAGGCGGGGAAAGGGTACGGATAGTGGACCACGGGAGATGAATATATATACATATATATAAATAGATGTATGTGTGTATGTGCATGCATGTGTCTGTACTTGTATGTGTATGTGTATGTCTATGCATGTGTACATGTAAATGTGTATTGTATTTTTGGTATTTATGTTTTCTAGTATTGTTGGATTGATGAAAAATATTTCAGATTTTGGATAATAAAAGTTAATAAGCAAAAGCATTTTTATCTAATATAAAATAATTCAAAATTAAAAAAAACACATTTATAAAAAAAAAGTAAAATTTTTTTTTTATAACTAATTGCTAAATTTTTAGTGAAAATATATAAAATAATAATTGAACCATTTTTCTTTTCCTTTTTTTTTTCTTTTCATTTCCTTTTCTAATTATGAGTAATATATTTATCGGATCATTAACGATGTTATCCGGTTAAGAAATTCGTGTTGTCATTTTCCATACCACCAGAAGAAAACAAAGAAGAAAATTACAGATAGATACAGATACGTAGACATACACGCACGTATATACGTACATAGAGCATGCATATACGTGTACAAATATTAAATTGATCCGTATTTCCGCTATCGATTGATTAATTCCATCATCTAATTAACATAATTAGTAGTGACAAATTTTTAAATACAAGAGGTAAAAGAGGAGTAAAAATTTTCCCAAATTATTCATTCATTCATTCATTCATTCATTCATTCATTCATTCATTCATTCATTCATTCATTCATTCATTCATTCATTCATTCATTCATTCATTCATTCATTCATTCATTCATTCATTCATTCATTCATTCATTCATTCATTCATTCATTCATTCATTCATTCATTCATTCATTCATTCATTCATTCATTCATTCATTCATTCATTCATTCATTCATTCATTCATTCATTCATTCATTCATTCATTCATTCATTCATTCATTCATTCATTCATTCATTCATTCATTCATTCATTCATTCATTTCATTCATTCATTCATTCATTCATTCATTCATTCATTCATTCATTCATTCATTCATTCATTCATTCATTCATTCATTCATTCATTCATTCATTCATTCATTCATTCATTCATTCATTCATTCATTCATTCATTCATTCATTCATTCATTCATTCATTCATTCATTCATTCATTCATTCATTCATTCATTCATTCATTCATTCATTCATTCATTCATTCATTCATTCACATTCATTCATTCATTCATTCATTCATTCATTCATTCATTCATTTCATTCATTCATTCATTCATTCATTCATTCATTCATTCATTCATTCATTCATTCATTCATTCATTCATTCATTCATTCATTCATTCATTCATTCATTCATTCATTCATTCATTCATTCATTCATTCATTCATTCATTCATTCATTCATTCATTCATTCATTCATTCATTCATTCATTCATTCATTCATTCATTCATTCATTCATTTCATTCATTCATTCATTCATTCATTCATTCATTCATTCATTCATTCATTCATTCATTCATTCATTCATTCATTCATTCATTCATTCATTCATTCATTCATTCATTCATTCATTCATTCATTCATTCATTCATTCATTCATTCATTCATTCATTCATTCATTCATTCATTCATTCATTCATTCATTCATTCATTCATTCATTCATTCATTCATTCATTCATTCATTCATTCATTCATTCATTCATTCATTCATTCATTCATTCATTCATTCATTCATTCATTCATTCATTCATTCATTCATTCATTCATTCATTCATTCATTCATTCATTCATTCATTCATTCATTCATTCATTCATTCATTCATTCATTCATTCATTCATTCATTCATTCATTCATTCATTCATTCATTCATTCATTCATTCATTCATTCATTCATTCATTCATTCATTCATTCATTCATTCATTCATTCATTCATTCATTCATTCATTCATTCATTCATTCATTCATTCATTCATTCATTCATTCATTCATTCATTCATTCATTCATTCATTCATTCATTCATTCATTCATTCATTCATTCATTCATTCATTCATTCATTCATTCATTCATTCATTCATTCATTCATTCATTCATTCATTCATTCATTCATTCATTCATTCATTCATTCATTCATTCATTCATTCATTCATTCATTCATTCATTCATTCATTCATTCATTCATTCATTCATTCATTCATTCATTCATTCATTCATTCATTCATTCATTCATTCATTCATTCATTCATTCATTCATTCATTCATTCATTCATTCATTCATTCATTCATTCATTCATTCATTCATTCATTCATTCATTCATTCATTCATTCATTCATTCATTCATTCATTCATTCATTCATTCATTCATTCATTCATTCATTCATTCATTCATTCATTCATTCATTCATTCATTCATTCATTCATTCATTCATTCATTCATTCATTCATTCATTCATTCATTCATTCATTCATTCATTCATTCATTCATTCATTCATTCATTCATTCATTCATTCATTCATTCATTCATTCATTCATTCATTCATTCATTCATTCATTCATTCATTCATTCATTCATTCATTCATTCATTCATTCATTCATTCATTCATTCATTCATTCATTCATTCATTCATTCATTCATTCATTCATTCATTCATTCATTCATTCATTCATTCATTCATTCATTCATTCATTCATTCATTCATTCATTCATTCATTCATTCATTCATTCATTCATTCATTCATTCCATTCATTCATTCATTCATTCATTCATTCATTCCATTCATTCATTCATTCATTCATTCATTCATTCATTCATTCATTCATTCATTCATTCATTCCATTCATTCATTCATTCATTCATTCATTTCGATGATAATGAATTAGAAGGAATTATTATTTATTATTTATTATTATTATTATTATTATTACTATTGTTATCATTGTTACTATTGTTATCATTGTTACTATTGTTTCCCTGAAAACTTGTTTTTAGAAATAGTTATTGCATTAGAAGTAACAATTCTTGCTGATCAATCTGATAGCGCTTTCATTTGTGATATTACATTACTGAACAATGATTTTCATCATTATCGATGCCAGCGTTAACGTCGACGCCATTGTTGTTTGCTAAATCGTCATTATCATCGTTATTGTCATTGTTATCGCCGATATCTTCATCTTTACCATCTATTAATTCATCTTTTTTCTATGAAAAGATTCATAAAAATCTTTGAATAAAAATTAATTAAAAGAT